TTCTTCCACAATAACAGGAAACAAAAAGCTGGCAGAGAGCTCATATGCCCAAAAAGTATTATTTTTACTGCATTAGAAACAAAAAGTGAACAAAATATTCTCAGAACTTCACTTTTCTGTGCTACTTCTGCAATGACTCATAATAACGGTAAAAACTTGGGATTGTAAACTGTATAATTTGACAACTATCCAACTTTTTCCAAATGAGTCCCGAGTCCAAATGAGGCTTAGGGAACTTCCACTCAAACTGACTGAAACAAATAATTTCATGCTATAAATTATCCCTAATCAGTATATTATCTGTCATGCTCTATTTTTATCTGTCAGGAAAATAACATCATGTTTGGAATTGCATTGGTATCACAATATTATCTGTGACAAAATCTCTGTTCAGTCCTCTAGCTATGTCCCGTTTCCTTTTTCCTTGTATTTTGCTCTATTAATATGAAAATACTATGATTTTTTCTGCAAATCCTCAGTTAAATCTCTATCAAATGGCACTTTAAAATGTAGTTTTCTTCCCTTTTTCACTTCCAATCCATGTTAGCTGTGTTTACTGGAACATTTATAATATTCAATATTATACATTATAATATTAGAATATAATAATTTAAAGCCAGGAATAAACGCATTAATCTGTCAAAATGAGGGAAAGCACTCTGAAATATCCATAAATATTACAGTTAATGATGGAAGATTTTTGATTAACACAACATACACGTATTTTACATATAATTTTACGTATACAGTGATATTTAAAGAGGTCATATGATGCGATTTCAAGTTTTCCTTTAAGTAGATGCATTTAGGAATCTTTAAGATCACTTACAGCAGAACATCAATGCATTTTATGGACGACCGTTTCGTGAACCTAGGCGAGGAGGTAATTGTGACTTTGCTATGACAATCTGGCGCTTTTGAATCAGCGACTTGTTACTAGTTTAAGTATTTGCTATTGACTGTTCAAATGCGGAGTTTTGCGCATCGTGTGTGTGTGTGCGTGTGCGCGCGCGAGCGAGCGAGAGAGTGCAAGAGCGCGAGAGAGCGAGAGAGAGAGAGAGCGAGAGTGAGAGAGAGAGCGAGAGAGAGAGCGAGAGAGAGAGAGAGGGTCACATCACAGTAGAGTCAACTGTCTTAACCGTGGCTTGTGTAATGCAAACACATACCAGCTTCATCACTGTGTCTGTCACGCGACTCTGTTCCCCTTTCGGGCTTGAACTGATGGTAAAACTAATGACATTATTTACTGTCTTTACATTTATTTTGAAAGATGAAGCTCGCGATTATGGTAAGGGGCGTTACATTTCCGACGAGTGCTTGCGGTGTTCGGCCAATCACAATGCACTGGGTCAGCTGGCCAATCAGAGCAGACTGCGCTTGTCGGAAGGAGGGACTTTGTAGAAAACGAAGCGTTTGAGAGAGGCGGGGCATAGAGGACCTACAATAATGTACAGTATTTGAAAAATAATGTGTTTTTTGAACATTAAAGCATGTCAACATATTCTGTTACACCAAATACACAAAATAATGATCTTTAAAAAAAGCATCATATGACCCCTTTAACACGTCCATAATATTGTTGCCGAAAGACTCATACTGTTGAGCTTTTAGGGTTACTCGTGGTCTGTTGATAGTGATTTGTTATTTTTACCTTAAGTTTGGTTTTGTTCGATGGGTGAGGGGTATAATGTCACCTCACCGTACCTAGTTTTTGCAAATGATTATTATTGCATTCTTAGTGCGAATCTTTAAACAGGTTTATTGGCAGTCTCTGACCGTTTACAGTTTATCCCATAATTTCCGCAAAACATCATGGGATGTAGGAAAAAGGTGGATAACTTCAAACTCTCAGCAACTACAGTCAGTACATAACGTGTGATGAGAAACACAAATCATGTCCTTCATTATACAGAAGATTTATTTGACTGAATAAACACAGCCTAAAAAAATGTAACAATTCAAATACGAAAGTCACTTGGATTGGAATTGAATTCTTCTCATTTTGTGCATAAACCTACCTTCTCAAAGACAGTTGCTTGGATTTCTGTCCAAAACACAACTATTTCTAGTGTAATGGGTATAAAACGTAAGATATTTGAGGACATGTCCTGGCACCATTTATGGAGATGTTTGTACTTACCACCATGCCCATTCCAGTGCTGTGAACACCAGGATGTTTTATGACACAGTCTGAAGCCTTCATACATTTAGTTTTGCCTTTAAATAAAGAAAAATAACAGAATAAATATAACAAACAGAAGACTAAAACGGCTTAATATCCTAAAAATGTACTACTTCTCTTTGTGAAACGTGATTTATCTCTGTCCAGCATTTCACCGATTATCAGAGTGCTCAAATGTTTTTGTAGGCTATCCTCCTGCCTCTTTGGGTATTTATGTTATGATACACTGGGCACATTCCACAGACAAGCTCACCTCCCTTTGAGTACTTATTATTACTTTCTTATCATACTTTTTTACCTTCTAAGGTCCACTTACAATGTCAGTAAGATACGGCCCTCCATGTGTGAAAGCGCTCTGTTCCTGAGCTGCAGATTTGATTGCATTCTTATCATTAGTTATTTGTGTGTTTAAGACTGATATGTCATCTTTATCTGCTTTATTGGACAGGCCAAGTTTCAGAACACTGGACCGAGATCTAATGTCAAACTGAGCAACGTGCAAGATATTTTCCAGACTCTAACTGGGGGAAAAAAACGATGAGGGTCAGTTATAATGAGTGTAGAGGGCGTGCTGGGGTTCAGTAGGAGGAAGTTCATCTCACCACACTGTGCACACATGGGAAGTTTCTGCACTGAAGAGCAGAAATAGCAGAACGCCCTGTTTTTTTGTCGCCTGGCAACAGAAAAAAATTATATGCAATATTACGGAAAGGTACAAGGTAATGTAACAATTCTGCAAAAATCATAAGTAAAATTACCTTTGACACTTATCACATTCCTAAAAAAATAAAAAAAAATAAAAGGTTAGGTCAGTGCATTAATGTACCAACTAGAAAAGCAGTTTGCACCAAAACTGGGAAAAAAAAAAAAGCCTAAATATTCCTATAGGTTACATCCAAGTTTTGATAGAAATTTCCAAAGCTAAAGGAATTTTCTGATAGTATTGTTTTCATGAAACCTGTCTGGGTCATATCTCACAAAAGAACAAAGAAATATTAAAATATTAATAAATAATGTAATTTTAATATTTAGATATAAACGTTTAAAAGGAGAATGAGCACTGAACTTTTTCACTGAACTGAAAGCCTTTAAAAATACATATGATTATTAAAATTATTCTTCAAAATATTACATTTTCGCAATCTGTGAATGCATTGTGCAAGCTTTAGATGACTCTTACCATGGTTGCATTGCATGGGTGTTTGGCCACATCAACAACCTCTTTATTGGCTCGAGTCTGTTTCTCTCGCTCCTTTCGGCTCTCAGCCTTCTTACGAGCGCCAGTCTTTTTCTTAGGCATCTTTCACCTCCAATATCACAAAAACAGAATAGAAATCTGTGACACATGTAATGGATTCGATATCAAACAGATTACCTGTTGACGGAGCATGACTCCGCTCTGATGATTTCCACTGAAATTACACGAGTTCATTAACGACTTCAATAAACATCTCAGCTTAACAGTTACTTTCACAAAAAAAAGTATTACTTTTTATTTACAGTTCAACGCCATATATTCGAACACGTCTATCATAGGAAACATACCCAGATTAAAGGATTAATCGCGTAGAAATCAGGCAGTTGATCACAGCTGACCCTGGCGCGTGTGTAACAGTAAATCGTTCCGGAAGGAAAACTAACTGACGCTGTTATCAGTTCCACGAACATTTACTAGCAGGTGTCTTTTGCTTGGCGGAACTGCTTAGATTGTAATCTAATACAGTTAAATTTTGTTTAAAGTGTCTACATTAAAACCCCTTTATATGTTAATTTAAAATAATTACATGAGCTGTAGTCCCACTCCATCACAGAGGAGGGCAATGCGCTGTCAGTAACGAAGCGGTTGCCAGATACTCTATCAAATAGCTTCACTAAGTTTTAACGTTGTCTCTTT